CTGGCCGAGCGCCACGGGCTGGCCGCGCACTGCAACGTGGTCTTCCCCAACCCGGCGTCGGCGGCCACCCTCGACAAGGTGGGCTTCCGGAAGGTGTGCGTCGCCTCCTGGATCGACTGGGAGGCGCCGGCCAAACAGTGAACTCTGTGTGGACAGTTGTGGTGTGGATGTGGGTGACATATGAGTGAATGCGTCTGTGACCTTTCAACGTGTTGCTCTCAACTCTGCAATAATAAAATCGTCTTTGCGCTCTTGAAATCTCGAGTCTCCAAGAAAATTTACCGCGGAGTCTACCTACGGATTGTGGATCGTCCAGAACGTACGTCCGTTGAAAACTCTCAGAGTTCTCACATACATTCGGCCAATTACGCGAGTTCAGCGCCTGCGAGACTCGGGGTAGGCCAGCCCGCAGTACACGTATGCATTGCTGGTGAGATGTTGCCTACCTATCGGGCGCTACGAGAGCCTGCATGCAGCGTAAAAAACCTTGCCAACGGTTGTGGCTACTTTGTAATTGCGAACCAATCGCGAACTATTTCCTTCGCAAAGCAAAGAAAATCTTTCGCAACTGCGAAGAAATTCCTTCGTAGGCTTTACAAAGCAGCCAAATCCTTCGCATTGCGTACAAATCCTTCGGAAGGTATTCAGTAAAGGCTTAGGCTGTTTAAGAACAACGCCCGAGCCTCGTTCATGTAGTGTATGTGCCGCCCCTAGCGGCCTGTCTGTAAGGTGTTCCTGAATGTGGCAATAAACAGCCAGTAATGTCCAGTCAGCAGTGAGTCAAGTCGGCATTATTCTCCTTCAGTCGCATACTACAGTTCATACCATCGCGATTCCTCCTGCTCCACCGTTCCCTCCGTTGCCAGACCTCTTTTTGCTGGCCTCCAGCGGCGCGCAGAGGCGGGCCGCCTTCTCCACGCAGGTGGTGCGCGGGCTGGCCTACCCAACGCGTTGCAGGCGCTTGTCATTATCGTCGTGTTATTGCTGTTTGGGCACCTCTGCTCACACCACGCCAATACAAGACCACGAAAAGAACGTTGTGTTAACTACCTAGTGGTCAATTTAGTTTAAAAAAGTGCTGCTGCTCCATGTGACTCAACTTCATTTGTTAACCTAAATGGCGGTGGCTCGGGTTTAGGGTAATACTAACAACAACAAATCTATGAAGGTAACATATGAAGTTTAATAAACATCCACATTAAAATAAAACAAAAAAACACAAAATAAAACGAAACGCTAACCATAGGACACGCAATATTGAGTCTTGGTAGTCTTGTCTTGAGGGAGTCTTTTCAAACTAAGGTGTGTTATACGTTTCTTTAAATGTCGTTTTATGACTCACCAGTCGAAACTAGATAAGGAAATGTAAATTTGTGATATCTTAGATGTTCTCCAAGGAGAGAAGTAGAACAGCGTTAAGATAACATTTCATGCTGGAAACGGCGAGCTCATTACATTACAGTAATTTATACATTAAAGTACGCGGTAACTATATATTAGCTCTGAACTGAACATATTAAAAAGGCAGAGGCTCAGGTTCAACTTAGGTCTAGTACTTTTGTGATATCCCTCCATGACACATTGGGAAGGTTTTGTAACCATGTACAGTAATTAGTAAATTCAATAATGGCACTCGCGGTATAAAGAGACAACCAAATCAAATAAATCTCTATATCAAAGGTCAAAAAACGAAGCAAAACGCGTTATATAAAAAGTCTACACAAAAAAATCCCCCTGTCATTGCATGGCGATCCGTTTCGCCCCGACAGGAAGCGGGTGGAAGAGGTGCATGTCGTACGGAATCTCGTATTACAAAATGCTAAACAATGCCACATCTGATTCGACAACGGCCATTTACTTGAACGGCCCCGCGCTGGCTATGTTCTTTTGCCCCGAGGGCTCCGGTCCGCGGTCACAGTCAGCACAGATCAGAAGGCCGAGGTCCGCCCCGCGTTAGCGCCAGGCTGCCTCTCGCCCTTGTGGTGGTGAACAATAAGACGTCAGCGACGAGGTCCGTCGTGCCGCTCGCACAAGGGCGGTTACCCCTCGCTCTGCTCCGAGCGGGCCATGGACGGAGACCGCAGCATGGGGCTCTGAAAAGGAAAACAAAAATCAGACTTGTAAAACTTCGAGAGGGGGGAGAACCACTGAGAGGGGGAGGAGGTAAAGCAGTCATCTGGTCGAATTTAGTTTACTCACGTGGGCGCCCGACGCCCTGCCCTCTGACGGCGCCCTGGAGCTCCTGCTCGAGCCGACGTCGCCCTGCTGGCTGCTGGTCGACGACATCTGCCGCAGGTACTCCTTGTCGTCGAAGATCTTCTTGTCGCCGCCGCCGGGCCGGTGCTTGACGTTGTCCATCGAGCCGATCCTGCTCTGGGCCTTGATGTCCAGCTTCTGTTCCTCAATCTGAAACACGGACGTGGGGGCCGTTAGTGCGTCGGACGGCGCGCGGAGGGGCTCGCTACCACACCGGACAGACAGACAGCCGTTGGGCTGGCGATAAAAGGTGTATGTACAGACAGGAGTTCTTGAGGTTAGTTGGTGCCGAGGAGAGGTCCTCTAGCGCCACTGTGCAAGACAGAGAGACAGGGTGCTCGCCGCTGCTCGGAGAGGGCAGGTGTATGTACACACGCTGTGAAAGACAGGGGAAGACGAGCGAAGTAAGGTCGAAGCGGAGTCCAGAAAACCAAAGCCCTGTAGAAAGTGTTTCCCTATTTCTCATTGAAAATGATCGAGAGGAGACACGTGCATGCGGTACAAACTCCAGTGCGCATTTAAATACATTCACACAGCAGATTACATGAAGGGATTTCATTCTGATTTTAGAGTCCTATTCAGTGATGTATACTTTAACCATATTATGTGCACGTAACGTAAAGGCCAGTGCAGGTTAAATAGATTTTAGATCTAATCATGGTTTAAGTTCGTAAAGGCAATTTTAATTTATTTCTAGAATGCTGAGATAAATGACGACTTACCTCGTCTGGTTTTGTGCCTACAGATGTCTCAGTAATTTGAAGGTTTGGACAAATTTTATTGCAAAAATATCACAAAGAAATAAGAAAGACGATATGAGTTAGTAAATAAGTTACGAGGGGTGCCCAACTGAGGTAATCAGGTGTACACAGAGTAGGTAATCCCTGGTAATCACCGGTAATCATTGGTAATCGCCGGTAATCATTGGTAATCGTCGGTTATCATTGGTAATCGCCGGTAATCCTTGGTAATCACCGGTAATCCATGGTAATCGCCGGTAATCCATGGTAAACACTAGGTAATCGTTGGTAATCACTAGGTAATCGTTGGTAATCACCAGGTAATCGTTGGTAATCACCAGGTAATCGTTGGTAATCACCAGGTAATCTTTGGTAATCACTAAGTAATCCAGCAAGGAAATTCCTAGAAATCTTGGGTAATCACTGGTAATCTTTGGGAATCACTGGTAATCTTTGGGAATCACTGGTAATCTTTGGGAATTACTGGTAATCTTTGGGAATCACTGGTAATCTTTGGGAATCACTGGTAATCTTTGGGAATCACTTGTAATCTTTGGGAATCACTGGTAATCTGTGGTAATCAATGGCAATCTTTCGTAATCTCTGGTAATCTTTTGTCAGTGGTAATCGTCGGAAACCCTTAGTAATCATGGGTAATCTTCGGTAATCTCTGGTAATCCTTGGTAATCATCACTTTTTGGTAATCAGGTGTACACGATTTTTTCGAGTTGGGCACCCCTCGATAAGTTATAACAACAAATTTATTGATTACGAATCAATTCTTAATTTGTATAGCTGAGACGTTTCTGTTTCATTCCTGTCATAATGTTGTTTTAAAAGCTAAATGCTAAGAGAGCTGTCTACATTCGCAACGATGTTGTGTCAGAGGCACCACTCGCAGGAACCTAGATCTACAATGTTTCATGTACGATTTAAGGTGCTCTCTCCGATTTCAAATTCGTCGAAAACCACACTCTGATTTACCTAGACCAATCAACTAAATTTGTAAGCAAAGATACAAAAATACATCAAATGCACATCTTTCTAGGAGAGTAAATGGGTTGTTTTTGCAACCCATGAGAAAGCTGGCTAAAGGTGTCCCTTTAAAATGTACCCTCAATGAACGTTCCCCGAGGCGACGCAAGCGAACGTTTGACCGTGTCCTTGCTTGTCCCACTGCACATTGGGCCCGTGGAGAGGGTAGGACGCCCACAGCGAGAGCCGCCGGCTCCACACAGCTGCCTACCGGGTTAGCCTACCCCGCGCGTTGCAGGCGCTATCGACTGCGTGGCCGGCCCTCGGCTAGCATCCACCACAGTCAGTGAGGGTTACATAGAGGAAGGAACTGCCCCAGACTACTAATTTGATTGACGTTTATACAATATTCGATTTAAAAGCTCGGCAAATCTACAGCGCATGCCATACTTTACACATCAATACTGTAGTTTTGTTACACCGCCCAAAAATGATGATTGTTATGAAACATCTAACATATGTTAACATTTTCCTGGCCGATCCGGACAGCTACTTTGTTCCTACAGATATTAAGCACGCCAAATTGTATTTTCTATAGAGTAGATATAAAATAGAGAAATTATGTTGAAAAGATATTTCCGCCGGAGGGTAAAAAGTTAAAGCGATTTTAGGGGTCCACTAGAGAAACTCTGCTTGGTAGTTCGAGTCGGTTTGGTGTATTCTCTTCGTTGCACCACACGCCGTGAAGGGATGGCGTGTCGACAGGGTCGGGCGTGGCGTGGCGTAGCATGGCATGGCGGCGAAGTGAATCCGCGAAGAGGCCCTACGCCTCAGCATCCTGTATGCAAGCATCATGAACTCTGGGATCAGTGTGGGCCAGGGCAGGGGGCGCAGAGAGTTAAATTAAGGAGAACATCTAAATTATTATTATTTGGCACTACCACACTGATCCCGAAACGATGCACAAATATCGTAATAATGTCGTGCATCTTAGAAGTAAGCTACCATGTTGACGACACATGCTCTGCTGAAACGTGTTCAACTGAAACATACTGACTTAATATAATATTTTGAAAAATGGGGATAGAGCAATTCAGGGCAAATGATGATTCCATGCACTTAAATAAAAAAAAATGGAGGTGAGATGCAATAAATACCAAAGTTACGATACTGAGATAAATAAAACCTGATCAAATTGCTAGGAAGGCGCATGGAAACGTACGCGCCATCAGAAAATATTTCCCTTACCTTGACCTTTCCGCCTCCGGGTTTATGCGTCATGTTGTCCTTGGATCCGATCTTCGGCTTGGCCTTTTCCTTGAAGTCCAGTTTGACCGACTCGATCTTCTTGTCGCCCCCGCCGGGCTTGTGAGCTGTGTTTTCCAGCGAGCCGATCTTAGACTTGGCTGTCCACACCAGCTTCTTCTGTTCGATCTGAAAAACAGAGAGGAAATGACACAAATAAGAACTAACCTTGAAGTTTAACATTTAACTACAGCCTGCAAACTACTCACCTTCTTGTCGCCACCGCTCGGGACATACTTGTCGTTCAAGGCCTCGATCTTTGGGGCGGCCTTCCACTCCAGCTTACGGCTCTCGATCTTGACGCGCCCGCCGCCGGGCTTGTACGCCGTGTTCTGCAGCGAGCCGATCTTGGAGCGCACCGTCTTGAGGTTTGGCGAAGGCGCTGCGCCGACCTGGATCTTGTTCATCGGCAGCTCTGAAGGGAGAGAGACGAACCGGTTAGAAAAGGGGACTTGGCGGCCGCTCCTCTCCTCCCTCCACCCCGCGTGACTTACTCTTCTGCGCGCCGTCGGGCGTCCTGGGCACGGACTGGGACGCGGACCTCGGTGACTTGAGCGGCGACTTGAGGGGCGAGATGTCGCCGCCGGTGGCGGGCGGGGCGCTGGGGTCGCGCGGTCCGCGGGTCTCCCGGGGTCGCCCACGGTCTCTGGGCTTGATGGGCAGCTTGGCCGGGGCCAGCGCACCGTTCGGGGTCGCGTCCTGGTGTGCGCCAACACGCAAAATGTGAGACTTTGTTTCGTTTGTTGATCCTACAAATAAGTACATTCCTTTCGAAGTGATCGACGTAGACCTACTTTTCCTTGAGTCGACTCGTCCACGCCGCTGTCATGGTCACCGTCTGAAACAACAGGAAACATCTTTAGACTCGGCTTGCTCTGGGAAGCGCAGCAACTTGGGCTGGCGTGCCTAGTGGTCTCTCACCTTGCCGCCGGGCTGGAGCACATCCACGTACGTTGTACTGGTTGTACTCTAATTTACTCACCAGTAACGGCCGTTGTGCCGCCGAGCGGGATAGGAGTGGGCGTGGGCCCAAGAGGCCAGTGAGAGAGAGAGAGTGAGAAAGAAAGAGCTGCAACCGTACTGTACCTGTATTTTTGCTCGAGTCAACGATTCGTTGTTGGCTGGAGGTCCGCTCTACGATTTTACTGGAGATGCCGTTGGTAAGGGCCCCGTTCCTGTCGCCTCCCGCGCTGGGCGGCCGATCCCTGGCATCCGGCAAAACCTTCGTCCTGTCGAAGGACTTTTCCGTGGTGAGCCTCTGTGGTGGGGGCTGCTGCGGCCTGGTGTCGACCTGCTCCGGCCTCCTATCGTTGCCGCCACCGTCTAGGCCAGGCCTCGGGGCGGGATCTCTCCGGTCGTCCACCTTGTGTCCGATGACTTGACCCGCTAGCCGCTCGCTGGACTCCTTGGTGAAGGTGGTGTTGAGTGGCATGTTGGGGGGTACGCCGCCGAGGACGCTGGATAGTGGGGGCCTCTGCCCGTTGGGCTGGCTGTTGAACTGGCTGTTCATGGGCTGGCCGGGGAGGGCGCCGAGCCGAGCGGGCCCCGAAGCGGAGGGAGGTCTGTCCTTGTCCTCATCAAAGGAACGCGCCGGAGCAGGCTGCGGACGGGGAGGCCCCGGGGGAGGCTTGGTGGCGAGGGAGGGGTCCATGCCGCCGGAGCCACCCGCGCTGGGCGGCCGGGACAAGCCACCGATCGGGGAGCCCTCCCCGGAGGCACCCTGCGGACCCGGCGGTGCGCCATTGCGAAGGGGCTGTCCTCTGCCCATGCCGGGCGGCTGCCCAGGAGCAGGTGACATCTGACCGGGTGATCCCTGACCGGGCTGCCCCGGGCCCTGGCCTGGCCTGTTGGGGTAGGTCGGGCCCCGCTGCACCGTAACCACGTCGTCGTCGTCGTCCACGCTCCTCCTCTCGTTTATCTTCAACCCCTGCGGGTAGCCGCCTCCCGGGCCCGGACCGCCACCGGGTCCGCCTCCAGGTCCTGGGGGAGGCCCGCGCATCATCATCCGCGGATCACCCCTCAGAACGCTGTCGGAGCGCTCGAAGGGCCGCGGCAGTCGCGGGTCGCCGTCGCCAGGGGGTGGGCCTCTGAAGGGAGGGCGTTGCATGGGCATTTGTGGGCGCATGCCCAGCGGAGGGAAGCCCTGGGGCGGGCCTTGCGGCTGGCCCTGAGGAGGACCTCCTGGACCCCCAGGACCACCCGGGGGCGGCATGCGGTTTGTGAGGTCTGGCCGCGGCCCGCCTTGAAACTGTGGGGGCGGTGGCTTCATCCCCTGGTACTGGAACTGCTGTCCGGGACCGGGGTAGCCCTGCTGGCCCTGCTGGCCCTGCTGTCCCTGGGGCCCCTGCGGCCCCGGTGGGCCTAGTGGACCTCCGGGGCGCGGTGGAGCGTTCATGTTCATCGGCATCCTAGGTGGCATGCCTTGCTGAGGGGGTCCCTGCGGAGGACCCTGCTGCCCGCCGCCGTCCATATCGTGCGAGACGAGCTTGTTTCGGACGCGGGCCCAGCCGAGTGCGGGCTGCAAGGGCGGCTGCAGCGGCGGCTGCAGCGGCGGCTGCTGCTGTGGCTGCTGCTGCTCGGAGAACGTGACGGATCTCCGGAGTGGGCCCGGTGGGGGAGACCTCGCCGGCGGGGAGGCTGGTGGGGTACCGAGCAGGAACGACTGTGAGCGGGTAGGGGTGGGAACCCTGCCCGCCTCCCCGAGGGAGGACGGTGGCCTGCTAGGCGGCTTCCACGCGCCGGGGCTGGCTGGCGGGCTCTGCGGCGACGTAAAGCTCAGCTGCTGCAGTTGCGTGAGTGGCGGTGGCCGCTGCCTCTGCGAGGGTGGGGGCGGCGGCGACTGCTGAGGCTGCGGGTAAGTAAAGTGCTGGGGCTGCTGCTGCTGGGGCTGGCTCTGCGCCTGCGGCGGCCTGGCCGACGCTGGCGGTGGCGGCGGTTGGGGCCGCGGCTGGCTGGGCGGTTGGCCCTGCTGCGACTGACTCTGCTGCTGCGCGGGGTAGCCAGGCTGTTGAGGGTACCCAGGCTGCTGAGGCTGTGGGTTTGGCCGCTGGAAGAATCCTTGTGCGGGTGGCCCCTGCTGTTGTTGCTGAGGCGGGTACCCCTTCTGCTGGGTCCGCTGCGGCTGCTGCTGCCCGCCCTGCTGCGGCTGGCCGGGGTGGTTGGCGTTTGGCGGCGGTGACGGCGGGGTGCTGTGCTGGCCCTGCTGTGGCCGCGGCTGCTGGTAAGCCGGCCGCTGCTGATACTGTTGGCCGCTGTACTCGACCGGCTGCTGGAAGTTGTTGTTCTGGTAAACCCGAGGAGCTTGCTGCTGGTACCCGCCGGGGCTGAAGGGCGGCGAGGGCTGCTTGACTAACAACCGTTGTTGCTGTTGTTGGACGTTCTCTGCTGCAGTGCTCTGCAATAGAAACAGACGCTGACAACCCCAACATCACAACGCAACGCAGGCACGTTTAGAATGCCCGACACCCCCAGTCAATCAGATCAGATCGGATTGCAGGTGACCCTCGTCCCTCGTGTGGCCGAATGGCCGCTCAGCGTGGGGCAGCTGGGTGCTGCGTGGTCGGGCGGACTACGAGGTGACAGGGTGAGGGGGTTGGCGGGGG